TGCATCCCCACCGCCCCAGCACCAGGTGTTTACAGCCCTGGGCTGGGCACTTAGCTGCGATGAGCAAATGGCCGATTAGACAAATGCAGGCAAGAACTTGGGGGGGCGGGATCCCAGCTCCCCTGCCCCAGGTCACCCCTGGAGTATCATGCTGCCCTGTGGATGCTTTTACCATGTTAGTCCCTGAGGCTTGCGAACTCCCACTGACAGACGCTTCAGCTGGAAGTTCCTTTCTCACTGGAGGAAGAGGCAGAGAAGGGTCAGTGTGTGGCCCACCGGGGCTGGCCCTCAAGTCCTAGTCCTTCTAGCTTAAGGTCCTGACCCATCTTCCTGCAACAATGCTCCATGCCCCCAGGCTTCACCTGACCACCTGATGATGACTTTCAACCTCCTCCTCCTCCCTCCCTTCCTTCTTCAACCTCCCTGACATACATGGCACCCAGACGACATCAGACCCTTATTCCTTTTCACCCTTAATTTCCCCACTCTCACAGCTGTGATTTTAAAGCCCCTCAAAGTCATGGGGGTTATGTAATTATTTTCATCCAGGGCCAAGCACAGGATCTGAGGCCTGTGAACAGGCCTCAAGAATGAAGGGGCAGAGGCCTCACTCCACCTCCACTCGCCTCCCCCCACTGCAACCCAAGGACAGCGCGGGTCACCCTGGTTCCGGATGAGGTCCTGTGACGTGGGTCCCCGAGCCCTGGGCTGCTTCTGCTCAAGTCGGGCCAGGGCTGCTGCTGCTGCCATCTGTGCCTCATTGGTGGGTCCCTGGCGGGGCTGCTGGCGTGCCGGCTGGTTGGTTTTTTCTTTGGGGGCCTTCTCCCTGGGGAGAGACATAGGGGAAGTGAGGTGATGTGGGGTCAGACAGAAGAGCCTCTGCCCCTCTCCCATTTCTACTCCTGCTCCATCAGACAGACATGTCCCTTTTTCCCAGGCCCCCACTCTGCCCCACCCCATGGTTCTAACACAGACAGCAGAACCACTGGGGCAGATTTCACTCCCAGCTCTGCCCCTTTGGGCAAGTCCTGCAGTGGCCTGGATCTCAGAGTCATCATCTGTTAAATGGGGTAACAAGTAACAGCACCCACCCCTACAGGAGGGCCATCCTGGTGAAGCGTATGTGACAGCACCCTACTGTCTTCAGGAACTGATGAGACTCAGGTGTCACTCCTCTCCTTGCTCCCTCCTAAGCATCTCCACCCTTACTGTCTAAAACAGTGAGCAGTTGCAGGTTTTGTTGTTGTTTTTTTAAGAATATTTTATTGCCCTAGCTGCTTTGGCTCAGTGGCTAGAGTGTTGGCCTCTGGACTGAAGGGTCCTAGGTTCAATTCCAGCCAAGGGCACATGCCTGGATTGCAGGCTCAATCCCCACCCGCAGTAAGGAGTGTGCAGGAGGCAGCCAATCAACGACTCTCTCTCATCATTGATGTTTCTATCTCTCTCGCTCCCTTCTCCCTTCCTCTCTGAAATCAATAAATATATATCCTATATAATAAAAGAGAAACATGCAAATTAACTGTCCCTCCACTACACTCAAGCCACGTCCACAAGCCAATCAGGAGTATGCAAATTAACCCAACTAAGATGGCAGCGGCCACGGAGCTGGAACCAGCAGGAGGCTTGGTTGCCCCTGGCGATGGAGGAAGCCAAG